TATCACGTTTGCACATCAGTGTCACTGTGCTTAGCATCACAGCAACCACGAGTTAACTCTGTACAGCAAAACACAGACAAGTGCTATACCACATAGAAGAATGTTTGACAAAAAACAATTTAAACCAGGTCTGAGTGCCGCAGATTAAAATCACCTACTTTTGGCTTGGTAGCATAACTTTCTGTCCTCTAGGCCAATGTAGCTCTATGTCATCATTGTTATTGTTGTTAAGTGCTGTTGAGTCATAAATGACTCAGAGCGACTCTATGAATGAAAGACCTGAGAACCATTCATAGAGTCTCCAGAGGCAAGTCATTTCGGAAGTGGATGCCACTCCTGCTTCCAAGCTTGTTTTAATCAGGAAGCTCCACCAAACACTGTCTGCCATTTGGTACATCAGTGTCACAATGTTTAGCATCACAACAACCAGGAGTTACCTCTGTACACTAATGCACAGACCAGTGCTATACCATGTAGAAGAATGTTTGACAAAAAAACAAATATCATTATTATTATTATTATTAATTATTATCATGATGTTAACTCTAGTCATTGTCCACCTTTCTGATGCATAGCAAGTACTTGCTTAGACCAAGCCTGGATCAGCCACACCTTAGTCTCCAAACTGACATTATTGCTCTTTTAGTACTTTGGACAGGTTCTTGACAGCAGCTTTCACCAGAGAAATTCATCTTTTTATTTCATGGCTGCTAGTGCCAAGAGTATTGATTGTAGATATGAGCAAGCAGAAATTAACAAATTCAATCTTTCGTCCATCTATCATGGTGCCGTAAATTGGCCCAGTGATGAGAATCTTTATTTTCTTGATGTTGACCTTCAATTCATATTAAAGACTACATACAGTTCTTGACTTTTTGCAGTAAACACTTCAGGTCCACTTCAGTTTCTTTCAGCAAGCAAGGTTTTGTTACCTGCCTAACGTAGATTTTTGAGTCTTCTCCAATCCTGATGTCACATTCTTCCTCATAAAGTTCAGCCTCCCATACGATCTGCTCTGCACATAGATTTTAAAGGTATGGAGACAGAACACTTCCCTAACACACTCCTATCCTGATTTTGAACTATGAAGTGTTTCCTTGCTCTGTTCTGATTACTGCTTCCTGTCTAAGTATAGGTTTCAAATGACCATATTCAAGTATTCTGGGATTCCCAGTCTTCTCAAGGTTTAGCCACAATGTGCTGTGATCCACACAGTCAAATGCCTTTGTATAATCAATGAAACATAAGACATTCTTCTGGTACTCTTTGCTTTCAGCTAAGATCCATCTGATATTGGCAATAAAGTCTCTGATGCTATGGCCTCTTTTAAACCTGCCTGTATTTCTGGTAGTTCTGTCAATGTACTATGCCAGTCATTTGTGGATAATCGTCAGTAGGACTTTGTGTGTGATATCAGTGATATTGTTCAATAATTTCCACACTCTGTAGGGTCACCCTTTTTTGAAATGGGAACAAGTATGGATCTCTTCCAGTCAGCTGGCCAGGTCATTGTCTTCAAGATTTCTTGGCACAACCTGATGAGCATATACAGGGGAACATCTGTTTGTTGAAATATGTCAACTGGCATTCCATCAACATCAACTTCTGGGGCTTTGTTATTTTGCCAATTCCTTCTAACTCCTCCTCTATCACCACTGCCTCTTGATCATATGTTGTTTAATGAAATTCTGTGTCCGCCAATTCCTTTGGGTACAATAACTCCGAAGTCCTATCTTCTTTTAATGCTTCCTGGATCATCCAATATTCTGCCCAAAGCAGCCTTAAGTATTGCAACTTGAGGCTTGGATTTGTTTTTCAATTCCTTCAGCTTAAAAAAATGACAAGCAAGTTCAGTCCTTTAACACTTTCCTTTGTCTTTCCAAGCTGTGCTTTGAAATCTGTTCAGCTCCTTAACTTCCTGCTTTCTTCTCTTTGCTTTAGCTTCTAGTACAATAGCTTTTAGCTTTTCTAACTTTTAGCGCTCTAGTGCAATACTCTGAGTCTCTACTGACATCCATCTTGGTCTTTTCTTCCTCCTCTGTCTGTGCAATGAACTTTTGCTTTCTTCATGACTGATATTCTTGACATCCTCTCATAGCTCATCGGGTCTTCGTTCATTACTGTTCAAGGCCTCAAACTTGCTCCTGAGGGAATTTTTAAACTCAGGCAGGATGGACCCAACATTAAATTTTGGCTGCTGTGGATTTAATTTCATATTCTTTAGCTTTAGTTTGAACTTTCATGAATAGTCTATTCCACAATCAGCACCTGGCCTAGTGTGGTTGTTTATTTTTCATTTCGATGAACATCTACAGAGATTTGGGAATTCCATTCATTCATTGTTGCACCCTTCTCCCCGCCCATCCCCCACTCTTAGCTCCTCTCCTTGAAAATCAAAATAAAAACTCCCTCATTGGTACACAATCCCCCCCCACACCCCCACCCCAAATATAATCCACTCTGCAACCCTCATTCGGTACTCTTACGATAAACATAACGTCCTATAATACTTTTAAACTATTCTCTCCCCCATAGACTCCAATGCCGTAAACATATTTCACCCAGTTTTTCTCAGTCTTACCCCCACCCCAATGCCAGCCTCATTCTACAACAGTGGCACCATATAGCATTTGTCCCTTTGTGACTGAGATATCTCACTCAGCATAATGTCCTCCAGGCTCACCCATTTTCAATAATATTGCATGAGTTCCTTGTTTTTCAATGCAGCATAGTATTCCATTGTGCGAATATACCACAGCTTCTCTACCCATTCGTTTGTTGATGGGCATTTAGGTTGTTTCCAACTCCTTGCTATTGTAAACAAAGCCACGATAAACATGGGTATGCATATATCTATTTGGATGTCATTTATGGTCTCTTTAGGGTATATTCCCAGTAGTGGAATTGCTGGAACAAATGGTATCTCTATTTGCAACTTTTTGAGAAAGTGCCACATCACTTTCAAGAGTGGTTGTACCATTTTACACTCCCACAAACAGTCTCTCCACAACCTCGACCTGGCCTAGTTTTAACAGCTGATATTGAGCTTCTTTCTCCAGGGATTCTTTCCACACATGTAGCCAATCTGATTCCTGCATGTATCATCAGTTGAACTCCAGGTGTATGCTTGTTTCTTGTAAAAGATATTTGCAATAAACAAGTCATTGATTGTACAAAACTCTATCATTCTATCTCCAGCCTCATTTCTGTTACTAAGTTCATGTTTTCCAACTATTGATCCTTCTTCCCTGCTCCAAACCTTTGTATTACAATCACCCATTCTTAATAATGCACTTTGATTGCATGTTCTATAGATTTCCAACTACAAAAGTTGGTAGAAGTAATTTATTTCCTCCTCTTTGGCGCTGGTTGGTGGTGCATATATTTGAATGATAGTTGTATTAACCAGACTTCCTGCTTCCTCTTGTGATGAGCTCATTATGTACAATAGAGCTCACACCAAGAGGAACACAAAAAATAGCCATTAAAATTTAAAATTAGCGTTAAAAATAATTAAATGATCCCTCTATAGTTAAGCTACTATACATTTCTATTAAGTTATAATCAATTATCTCTTTTTTAAATGTTGGTCAACTACAAGTTCATTAACAGTTTAAATGGGGGTGGTTGTTTTTAGGTACCTTTGAGTGAGCTGGGTCTCAGGGAATCTTTGTAACTACAGCAGAATAAAATACGCTATCTTCAAAGCCCATTGCTGCAGTTTCTGTGTCAATCCATCTCATTTGGCGTCTTTCTCTTCACAGAATCCACTTTTCCAATGATGTCCTCCAGAGACTGGAAAGGCCTCTCTCATGATCACATGGCCAAAGTATGTGAAAACAAATCTCACCGCCCAGGATTCTAAAGAGTTTTCTGGTGGGAGGGGAAGGAGATAAGCTAAAAATTTTAAGCCTATCACTCACAGAAGTTCAGCAGAGAAAAAACCCCAAAATTTACTTCCTAACAACAAGAGGTAAGCACTAGCTTTCTTTAGTTTCAAAGAACAAAATAACTATGTTCTCCTTTGTGTTCAGAGAAAAAATGAGCAAGACTGGCGTTACCTATAAGCTTTATTAATGAGGAAAGCTTAGGAGTCAAATCTGAAACAATAACGGGATTCTCTCTTGCTGTCAGTGACATTCGGACAATTTCCAGTTCAGAGAAAGGGGGGGGGGGGGGAGAGAAACCCTGAAGGTTTTCTCCAGCTTACTTAAAGAGAAAGAAGAGACAGCATAAGCAGACAAAAGCAAAAAGAAATGAGCAAGCACAGCAGGGCAAGAGAATGAAGGAATTCCTTGGGGAATGCTAATCATATCAGTAAAGTGCTCCTAAATTCAGTACACACAACTCTTAAAAACATGAGCAGGGCAAACAACAACAAAACCCACCCTACATCTACAGAATGCACACTGCTGACAACACTGAATATTTAAGCTAAAGCAACACTGGGGAGGTGCGGGGAGGAAAGTGTCCTGAGCACTAAATCGGTGCAGGATATTAAAACATCAAGTTCAAATCAGTGGGACTGTCAAGGTCTTAGACAGCTTGAAAACTCCGGAGGTGCGTGACACACCACCCCACCCCCACCCCTCGCCAACCCATCCACAGAAAACCACCAGACCATTAAACGCTGAGCGAAAGCGAGCCTCAGAGGTAGGGCCGGGACCGAACCACACCTCCACTGAGCGGACTCGACCTCGGATCCGCCCACACGGTCGCCCCGCCCAGACAAGAGTGACCCTTTCACTCCCTAGACCCGCTGCGGGTCGGTCCGCTGGGGACCTGAACTGACAATGCTCCTTAAGTCCAGCGAAATATCAACGCACAACCTAGCCCCCTACCTTACCAGCTCAGGCGGCAGTGGCGACTCCGGAGGCTCTAGCCACAAATAATGAACAACACCCCCCTCCCCGAGACCGATGCCGTCTGGGAAATGTAGTTCCGTGCTCTGACCCAGAGAGGCCCCTTGAACCAGAGCGTTTGTTTTCATTTGCACTTACTGTACTTCCTCCTAGACTTCGACCTTCGGCCCTGACGTAGGAGGCTCGGTGCACTCTCGGTGCACGCTGGGTATTGTAGTTTGGGTTGGATTCTGTGATTGGCCCGCGGAACGGAGGTTCATCGTGGAAACGGAACTGTGTTGCCTCATTGGACGCCGTCCCGGATACGCTTCTGCGCAGTCTTGGGTGGCGTCGTAACGCCTTGGGGAAAGAGAACGAGGATGGACCTTGAATTGCTGCCTCTGGCTTTTAATTTTTCTGCTGATAGGATTTAGTCACTTCTTCTTCAGTTTTTATTTGTTTCTTTGTTGCACGTATCCCGCACCTCCCTCTACCCCCTTTTGCTTTCCCACTCCTTGGATCCAACCCTGTGGGCATTCACGCCAGTTCAGTCACCCCGCCGTGAGCCCCCTCCTGGTCCCGGGCGGGCCTAGCACGGAGGCGGTAACTATGGAGAATATGGCGGAGGAGGAGCTGCTACCCCAGGAGAAGGAGGAGGTAGAGGTGGCTCAAGTCCAGGTCCCGACCCCGGCCCCGGACTCGGCTCGGGTCACCGCGCTGGACTCAGCCTCGGCTCCGGCTCCAGCCCCAGCCCCCGCCCTGGCCCAGGCTCCGGCCCTGTCCCCGTCCCTAGCCTCAGCCACTGAGGAGGATGAAAGCAGTAAGTGCCGGAGGCCCAAGTCATTCGGCCTCAGGGAAAGCAAGAAAGTGCGCCTTGTGGGGGAATAAGGGAGACCCTTTCTCCCCCGAATGATTTTTAAGGGGAAAGCAAGGTTTATAGGCAAGTGGGTGAGCGGGTGACGTTTTGTCAGGTAACAGCATGGGTACAAACTGGTAGAAGCCAATTCCTGAAACAGCAATGGATATATTTAGGCCAGGAGGGCAGCAGATGAAAGCGAACAATGACGTTGAGGCTTTTTTGGTTAAGGAAGGACTTTTCTGCAACACAATAGGAAATTATACTTAATTGAATAGTATCCCTTTCAGCTAGGATTTACTAAATGCTTTAAAAAAAATAATAATAAGGGATAGGCCAACATACAGAAACCAGTACTGTCAACTATGTGACTCAACCTAAAAAGATGGATTGTCCCCGGCCCGCGTATTCATTCATAGCAGCTCCTAAAAAGAATTTGAAATGCTGAGTAGTTTTTAAAAAGAGTTTTGTTTTCCACACATTAATACCAGTTGAGTGTCACACACCAGTCAGAAGTAAACTGTTGAAAATTAGCCTGTATTGTGCTTCTGAATATGTTGTTTTCTAAGTGGTCATTTATTGGATCTTACAGTTTTTAAAGTAAGCTTGATGGAGAAATACTTTCTTAAGGACCCTGCACATCTTAAAGTATAAAAACCGAAAGGAATTAACAAAAAGGTTTATTGTTGCTAACTTTTTATATTTATGTGGTCCATAAAAGCTGAGTGTTAGGCCCTTTCTGAATTGTAACTTAAAATATCCTAAATATTTCATTGTCTTATCTGCTTCCAAGTTAGTTGTGAGTTTAATGTTTATAAGTCACTTGGATGATTATAGTCTCAGGATTTTTTTTTGGAGTTTGAAGGCAAAGCATAAACTGTTAGAAAAACAAAATATGCCTTTGGAAGGATTTTCCTCATGTGAGATCTCAATTATATGTGATAAATAAAGCTAGCTGTTTCTTCATCTGTATCTACCATGAGGTACAGGTATTGATGAGCACATGCTATTAAGCAGCTTTCCTACGACTATTCCAGATTTTATCTGTTTATATTTATCATAAATGACTTAAACAGTTTTAGGATTTAATCTTCTTCCACCCCAATTCCTGCCTCTAAGAATATGTTAAATTTGTTTTGGAAAAGTTTACTTATAATTCCACATTTTACGACGATGTAATTTGTAGAATATGTAAATAAGAAACATGAAGATGTATTAATGAGGAATTTGTTGTTGAGAAATCTGACATGCATTATAACCAAAATTCATATGTATCTCATGTTTAAATTATTTTAGATGGTCTAATTACCCCTTTGAAATCAGTCATAAATATGCAAGATGAAGATGGCATATCAGAAATAGAATTGAAAATAGAGGAAAAAGTAACAGAAGAATCTGTAAAAGAAACTGCTAGCATTTTGGACTCATCTGATTTAGCAAAAGGTTTGCCCATTGTTTTTGGATTATTAGTGTGTTACAAATAGCGAGTGGAGTGACTTAAGTATGGATTGTCTCTATTACATTGGTTTCAGAGATGTAGATAAACATACCTTATTTTTGATAAATGTTTAAGATGTTGCCTTAATTATGGCGATCAAGTTTTCAGTTTTTTAGTTTATTAAACTTATTTAGTAACATTTGGTAGTTAGAATTAATTCAGTTACTGTTTCCTTAGGCCAAGTAGGTTTTGTGATTACAAATTAAATTTGATTGATTTGTGTACACATACTTAATTGCCTAAATCTGACTTAAATGAAAATGTTTTATCAAATGAGAAAACGTTTATTTGTTCAGAAATTTTATTGTTATTGTTGGATGTCTTCAAGTCATCTCTGATTCATATTGACCCCATGAAAAACAGATCTGAACCTTGTCCAATTTCTGATATGCTGGTCTTTTGTTGCAGTCACTATGCCAGTCCACCTTGTTGGGGTTCTTCCTCTCTTTTCTCTGATCATTCTTCTTTCCCAACATGTCTTTTTCCAAAAATTGACCCCTTCCAACAACATACCCAGAGTATGTGAGATAAAAGTTTCACCACCCTTGTTGCCTCTAAGGGGTACATTGGATGTACTTCCTTCAAGACAAGACACTTGTATGTTCTTTTGGCATTCCCTGTGATATTCCATATCCTTCTCCAGCACCACAACTCAGAGGCATCAATTTATTGCCCAACTTTCAGATACATAGCAAGTAATTGAAAAGATCATGACTTGGATCTGGTGCACCTTAGTCTTTAAACTATCATTGTTACTCTTTAGTATTTTAGAGAGGTACTTAAAAGCAGATTTTCCCAGTGCGGTATATCTTTTGATTTCTTGACTGCTGCTACCATGGTGTTGATTCTGGTTCCAAATAAATTTTGTATTGTCATAAGTCATTTGAACAGTACCTTGTTTAATATAGTCTTGTTCTTTGTTTCTGCTTACTTTAAATGGAAAAATGTATTTTAATGGAGTTCAGCTCAATATCTGATCGTATTAACTCGGATTTCCAAACTTTTTAACCTCATGCAACTACAACCAAAAAGACTAATCATTATTAAGAATTCTTGATTGTCAAACTATATTGTCTGCTGTGTTCAAATTGCTAGAGTAACCATTTAATCATTTAAAAATTAATAAGTTGCTTATTATTACAGTCTTGTGGAAGAGACAAATAAGGATTCAAATTGTATAAAAGGGTAAACAGAGTGGAGTGAGGCTGGAGAAAAGGGGAGAGGCAGCAAGGTGACTGTGTGAAGAACAGATTTAAACCCTCAAGTCCCTGCATGATATAAAAAGGATTCATATGCCAGCTGGTGCCCAAAAGTTGGCAGTTTGAGACACATACCCCCACAAATACCTTGAAAGAAAAGCCTGATGATCTTTGGGGGGAAATCCACCATTGAAAACACTATAGAGCACTGTTGTACTCCAGCACCCATCAGGTAGAGGAATTGAAATCAACTTGATAACTGATTGAAGGTTCTAAATTGTATAACCTAATAATATGAACTGATAGTTTCTCTCATTATCTACTGTCTCCTTGGGGATCATTTTCTATCAGTTAATATCTAGTCATTTGCTCACCTTTTAAATCTTTTACTTTGAAATGCACATATAGTCATTTCTGTCTTATAAAAAAATAACATTATCATCTCATCCTTTTTCATATTGCCACATATCTTGAAAAATTATTTACATTTCTGTCATTTTTCTTTCCAAACCCTCCCTCTTTTACTTCCATACCTCACTATTGAAGGTTACCAGCACTCAATACTGTTGTTTCTGTCTAACCCTCTATCTGATTTTTTAAGACTATACATCTTTACAGGAGATGGCCCATATTTCTTCCGTGGAGCAGCAGGTGAATTAAAAGTGCCAATCTTATCTTTAGCAACTTGTATGTTACCCACTGTTATGTGCCATTAGGGCTCCTTAAAGGGACCAGGGACCTACTAAGTACTTAATCCAGTAGTCTTCTCCATGTCTGTAACTGTGATATACAGTAATCTTGAACACTACCTTTTACAGATTTTTCTCCCTTGGCTTCTACATTATTACCTTCTTGATTTTACTTTCTCTGCATCTCTCATAATTATCATTGGTCCCATCATTCTTAAAAATATAAACTCAAAGTATTTTTTTCTTTTGCCTTGCACTCTTACATCTCAAACACAAGTCCTGTTTATTTTCTCTACAATCTATTCTCCTTTACCTTTCCATTACTAATTCCAACTCCATAATTGATATTCCCACCATCCAAGTGCCAATTTTTCATATAGTTGTGACTTGAGTGTTGCTGAAAATAATGCCATCTAAATTTCACATACCAGTAGGATCACTTAGGGATGGATGGGGTTCATTGGAGCATCCAGACTAAAAGACTTGGAGGAATGACTTAAAGATCAACTTCAGAAATGCCTGTAGATCACAATACAGTAATAGAAGATAAGCCCCAGGCTGGAAGGTGCTAAAAAACCAGAGTGGCTGCAACAGTACTTAGGCATACCATTGTTTAAAGATAATTCAGAAGTAGATGTTTAGTTCTGACATAAATATGGTTGCTGTCAGTTGGAGTCAACCTGATAGCAACTAACAATAATTGCTGCTGACAGATAACTTCCTGAAATGCATTCAAATTATATCACCCACTTCCCCAGACACATGCAAAGACTTACCATTGTCTCAAGAATAAAGTCCAGACTAACTTGAATAGAAGTTATGCTTTCTCTAATTTACATTTCCTTTTTAACAGTTTCTTTTTCTACAAACAATATATTCCCACTAGAAATGGAATAAAAGTAGTTGTATTTTATACCACATGCCTTTGATCATGAGATTATGTCTGTTTATAAGGCTTAGCTACTAAATTTCTACTTACTGAAAACTCTTCATATCTTAATTGTCAGTCAGGTGCCACTTTTTCCAGGAAAACATTCTCACAGCCACATGTTAGAATTTTTCCTTCTGTATGCCTCTATCATATTACCTTTACATCTGGTATTTGTTTCATCCTGTTAGAAGCCATCAGTTTGATTTCAACTTAGAGTCACCCTACCTAGTTTGGTAGTTACAAGTTAATGAATTTATATTTTCCATCTGATTCATGGAAGACATGGAATGGGACTTTGTTTCTTCAGAATTCTATAAAGAGCTGAAGCATGTAGAATTATATTAGATAAAACTTAGTGTATTTACACAGTGGAGTTTCCCCTCCCTCTCAAGCCTTTTTATGGTCTGTAAAACAATCGTAATTTTATGAATTTTTGGCAGTTATTACTTATTTGGGTAGTAGTATATAAGAAATAAGAATGTAAGCTTCTGATATACTGAAGATGAAACTAAAATACAAATTGTTAAAAAATAAATTTTTTACTGTTAAAATTACCTTACCTTTCAGAGAGACACATCTCAATTCAGAGGTACCTTGCTGATCTAGAGAAATTAACTTTGGTAACTGAAGGGAATTTTGATTCTGCCAAGATATTGAACTCAGAGAATCTTGATACAGGTATTTCCATATTTTTTCTTTTTCTACATAATGGTTTGTCATATTTGAACTCATCAACAGTTGCTGAAGACTAGAGTTTGTTCTTATTGAGCTAACACAGTAGAAAATAAAATTTTCTATTTAGGAATTGATAGCCTTCTATGAACAGAAACTAAACCCATTGCTGTCAGTTGATTCCAACTCATGAAAACCTTCTGTTAGGTTTCTGAAATTGTAAATCAAAATGGAAGAAGGCTTGCCTTTCTTTTGTCTTAAAGCAACTGGTAGATTTGAACTGTTGAAATGCTGATGTTTTGGTTAATCTAACACAAAATGTACCACCAGGGAGCTCTTGTGGCCTAGTGATTACAAGCTGCACTGCAATACCAAAGGCATGCAGTTTGAATCCACCAGCTGCCCCACAATAGAAGTATGGACAGTCTCGTTCTGTACAATGTACTGCCTCTGAAAACCCGCTGAAGTGTCAGCTATGAGTTGGTTCCAACTCAGTGATATGCACAACAACAGTGTACCAGTCCACCACCAGAGCTGTTCTGCAAAGGTGCTCTGAAAATAAAATTATTATATAGCTCCTCGAGAGAATGCCAGTCCTGTGACTATGCCAGCTGTGTGTGTTTTGTAAGTTAGAAATCACATTTGGCTGTAATATATCTCAAGAAATAGCAACTTGCATTAAGATGGAAAGAGCTCTTGTGGAGTAGTTAGTTACATGTTGAGCTGTTAAGCAAAAGGTCAGCAATGGAATCCACCAACTGATTTGAGGGAGAAGGATGAAGCAGTCTGCTTCTGTTAGGAATTAAAACCCAGAAACTCAGAAGAGGGTCCCCATGACTCAGAATCGACTCAGCAGCATTGAGTTGACTTGGGTTTGTTGAGAGTTCCATGAGGATGCCTGTGATCTTAGTTCTTGCCCTTCTGATGTACCACCATCTTTAATGCTGACTTTAATCCTCAAGATTACTTCCTGATTCAAAATGGCTTATAAAACTCTCAAATCACAACTTCTGTCCTCTAAAGAGGAAAAAAGGAAGGAAAGCGGGAAAAGTTTGTCACCTAAATTTCCATTTAAAGTGCTTTCTATGAAGCCTTTCTAGTGATTTCTAGATAGATGGCTTCAGCCAGATCTGTGTCTTTGGTAACTATAGAGAGTTTGGAAAATGTCTTTTAGGAGGGCACATTACCAACTTTGAAGAAAATCTGACTTCTTTTGAAAAATGTAAAGGAAGAATAAAAATTAAGTAGACAACCTTTCTGCCACAGTGAAGTGTATATTATTATGCCTAAAAAAGGTTTCTGTCACATATAAAGCTTAAGCTTTTTCCAACACATAAGAAGATACCAAATTTTAGTATTATAAAGTCTTTAAATGAATTTGATTTTATTGGGGGAAACAAGTGGATTTGGTTTTGCTCAAAGGTTATTAAAAAACCAAAATTACTCTGAGAAATGTCCAAGATGATCATATTTTTGTGTTTTAGTGAGCACAAATGACATTGTTTGACCAATAATGCTGTTTTAAAAATATGCTCTGTCCATTTTTTAATCTCTATTTTTTAAGCTCAGTTTTTAATAAATATTTCTTTATTAATATGAAGTGATGTATGTTGTTGTTGTTAAGTGCCGTCAAGTCGCAGGCAGCTCATAGCAACCCTATGAACGAAAATCCTGGACACCTCCTGTATAACTTTCGTCCTTTGTCCAGGTTCATAGGGTTTCCAGAGGTAAGCTATTACGTAAGTGGATGCCACTCCTCCTTCCAAGCTTGTTTTAATCCGGGAGCTTCACCAAACACTGTCCGCCATGGGTAACCATTCTCGCATTTGACTCATCAGTGTCTAACAATGTTCAGCTTCACAGCAACCACGAGTTACCTCTGTACAGCAAGTGGGCATACCAGGGTTACCGACCCAGAAGAATTTTCACCAAAGCAATTAAAGGCGAGGTCCTCAGGTCCAATAGGATTTTAAGCTAGGGCCTGGAGCAGGCTCTGCAGGCTTGACCCCACCCTTAATTACCCTTACTCTAAGGGTCAGGGCCGCCCATGCAGCTTTGATCGCCAAAAAGGACAGTAACAACGCAAAAGACCCCAGAAACTTCCTGTGCCTGACTGCCACCAGCAGGAGCCGCCATGGAGGCGCCAGCCGTCGTGCCCGCTTAGCTGACTGACTTCCAGACTGGAGGGAATTTACTGTATGCTTACTAGATAATAGATTACTAGGGGCAAACCTTACACTCATGAAAGAATGAGAGTGGAAGCATATATATTACTATTTTTAAAATCATTTTGATCTTACAGATCCCCTGAATGGGCTTCAGAATCTCCAAGTAATCCACAGATCACTCTTGAGATCTGCTGGTTTGTTAGGGCCTTCTCTGGTGTGTCAATTTCAAATCCTATTTCTACTGATAACTACATGTTATTATAAGTGATGTACAGAATGAAAATAATTATACAGAATCTGTAAGCAGTATTTCAGTATTCTTTCATTAAATTTTGTTTGAAAGCATCTTACTCTACTACTTCCTACCATTCCAGCTTGTTTTACAAGAGAGTAACAAATTTTCGAAGTACTACTCTTCATTTATTTATTTATTTATTTATTTATTCCTTTTATGTGTGTACCGTCAAATTGGATCTGACTGGTACAGGAGGCGATTGTTCTTCCTTCTTCAGCGGAGCATCTGGTGTATTTGAACCGCCCACCTCTGGGATTGCAGCGCAGTTTCCTACCACTAGGCCACCAGAGCTCGCCCAGAGTACTACTCTTAATAATGTTCAGAGCAACTGTCTCATTTCCATTGAGTAAGAACTGACTCCTAATTGACCCTCCAGAGAGTTTTCAGACTATAAATTGCATGGGATATAATGCCTGTCTTTTTCCCGCATGGCTCCTGGTGGATTTGAACCGGGTGAGATAGGCACTGCCGCCTTTAGGTTAGCAATTCAAGTGTCCAGAGACTAGGCCACCAAAGCTGTTTTGCACAGTAAAGGAGACCTTGAAGGCATTGATCCTGCTGGTAGCTAATCATCTCTAACTTCCCTGCTTTACATGTCTTATATTCTCTGGCCCACAATAATAATCATTTTACAGATACCTGACCTTCAGCCAAAGAATAGAAAGACCAAGAGATCCTTAGTCTGTAGAATAGTCAACCATACAAGAGCATAAGAGTAACATTTTCCTGCTTGGAGGCAGGAAGGATCATGATGCAAGGATGAGAGGAAACAAGAACCACCCAAAGGAGGTGGGAAGACTACAGTTAGTGGTGAAAATTATTTGTCGCATCATAAAAAAAAGTGTATGGGCCCTCGCGCACACCCACCTGGTCGTGCAACCGGAGCCGGGGAGCGGCCGCCCCGGGCTAGCCCCACCGGCGCCATGGAGGAGGGCTCCAGCTCGCCCATGTCCCCCGGGGACAGCCTGGGCACCAGCGAGGAGGAGCTGGAGCAGCAGCCCAAGCGCTTCGGCCGGAAGCAGCGCTACAGCAAGAAGTCGAGCGAAGATGGCAGCCCGGCGCCTGGCAAGCGCAGCAAGAAGTGCAGCCCGAGCGCCCAGAGCACGCAGTCGTTTGAGGAGCTGCAGAGCCAGCGCATCCTGGCCAACGTGCGCGAGCGCCAGCGCACCCAGTCCCTCAACGAGGCCTTCGCGGCGCTGCGCAAGATCATCCCCACGCCGCCCTCCGACAAGCTGAGCAAGATCCAGACCTCAAGCTGGCCGCCAGGTACATCGACTTCCTCTACCAGGTCCTGCAGAGCGACGAGATGGACAATAAGATGACCAGCTGCGGCTACGTGGCCCACGAGCGCCTCAGCTACGCCTTCTCCGTGTGGCGCATGGAGGGAGCCTGGTCCATGTCCGCCTCCCACTAGCGCCCGCCGCCAGACCCGCGACAGGACTTCCAGTGTCTCCGGCTGGAGTGACTTTGGGATGCGCTCACGGCTGGACTTCAGAAATGCGAGCGACCTAACGGAACGCTCAGCTCTGCTCTCCGCCAGGCTGGAATCAAGACCCCAGACCCACAGCCTCCTTGACGACCCACATGGAAGGGGTCGCGGTCCATCTGTTGACAACACTCTCTGGTTGTTACCTTTGTTGCTCTCCTGGTGTTTCTTCCAGGTGTTATTTTCGGGGGTTTTAGGAGCCCTGGTGGTGCAACTGTTAAGCACGTGGCTGCCAACTAAAAGGTTGGTGCTTCAAACCCAGCGGCGGCTTCAGAGAGGAAGGCCTGGTGTTCCGCTTCCGGAAAGCTGTCCTCCGTCCTGAGGCCAGCTGCAAGGTGGAACCAGCTGTGGCACATGGCAGCGTCTTCTTAAACATCTCCAGATTCAAGACCACACTTAGGAGAATTTGCATTTTGGAATTGTATTTCCCTTTAAGTGCCTTTTTAATGTATATTTTTTTTAATAAAACAATAATGCATTCCTGTAAAAAAAAAAAAAGGTGTATGAATGGTTGAATGGAATACCAGCCTGTTCTGTGATCATTTAATATTCACACAAAACAAATTAAAAAGCTTTAAAAAAAAAAACCACACCCCTATAATCAGTTGTAGGAGTCTTCAGGAAATATTTCCATATGTCAGTGTTCCCCAGGCTACCGTGAGGCACTAACTTTTGTTTGTTTGTTTGTTTTAAAACTTCTTCATTACTCTTATCACAGGTAAAGTGTATGGGATAGTGGTTTGGAAGAGTAGTTCTCAAAGTTTTTAGTCTTAGGACTGTTTCTTTATACTCTTAAAACTATTGTTGTTATGTGCCATCGAGTCACCTCTGACTCATAGTCACCCTATGTATAGCAGCTCTGAAGCCTACCCTATCCTGAGCCGGTCTCAGGATTTTGACACACACCTGTTCCCCATTGCCCCCAACACTGTTAAGGATGCCAAATAGCTTTTGTTTATGTGGGCTGTATCTGTCAACATTTATCATTATTGAAAGCCAAAACAGTAATTTAGAAAATTTTATTTAACAGTGAAACTTGCCTGTTAGCATAAATAACATTTTAATGAAAATAACTTTCCTAAGCATAAGCACCAAGAAAGGTGGTAATGTTAAATATTTTTACAAACCTCTTAATATTTAACTTAGCAGAAGAGAACTAGTCTCATTTCTGCTTCTGCATGCACTGGTAATAACATATTAGTGATCCTTTGAGATCTCCAATTTACTGTATGCTCATTAGATAATAGATTACTAGGGGCAAACCTTACACTCATGAAAGAATGAGAGTGCAAGCATATATATTACTATTTTTAAAATCATTTTGGTCTTGTAGATACCCTGAATGGGCCTCAGAATCCCCACGTATCCACAGATCACTCTTGAGATCTGCTGATTTGTTAGAGCCTTCTCTGGTTTGTCAATTTCAAATCCTATTTCTACTAATAACTGCTTGTCCAACCTTGGACAAGTTACATAACTTTTTCCTCAGCTTTGGTTTTGCACAATTAAAATGAACATAGTATTACCTTCCTCAGGTCATTCTAAGAGTTAAACGTGTTTATATCGGTGAAGCATTAAGGGTAAAATACTGAGTATACTTTTTTAGTATTTCTAATATTTTCCAACCTTTCAGAAACATTTGGTGCAATTACTCTGTTTTGTGGAAATTGAGGTTTTTTCCTTGTTTTGCCTCTGTGATACCACACTCCTGACTTTCCTCCTACTTTACTATTTCTTTGTACTTTCTAAATAATGGTGACTTCTAAGTTGTGGAGCCAGAACTCATAGCCTGACTTTAGTGTCTACACTCTTAGACCATGTTGCCATCACTCAGATCATGTGTACTATCTTACTACTTTTCACTTTACACTTGAATCCAGGCAGTAACAGCTAATATTGTGTGGTTTTGGTTCCTTTTTATTTTTCAGGAAACAAACAGACTTGTCCATTGTGCCCAAAGGAAAAATTTAGAGCTTGCAATAGTCATAAACTTCGTCGTCATCTTCAAAATTTACACTGGAAAGTCTCAGTTGAATTTGAAGGTCAGTATCTTTGTGAATGTTAAAAAAGTGATTTAAATAAAATCCAGAATTTAGTTTCAGTTTTGAATTTCTTTAGCATAATCAGATGGTTTTTCACTTAAAGCAAAGAATACTAAAAAAGAGAAGATAGTATTTTTCTCTTTTTTTACATAATAGCTTTTAAAAATTGCTGAAATTAATAAAAGTATTCGGAATCATACCCTTGTTATAGAGAAATAGAAATTAGGGAAAAAGAGGAACAAAAATGACACAAAGTGGGGGGAAATTTCATGAGAAATCACCACTCATTTGTCAAATGTACTGTACTGTGGTGGCTTACTTATTGCTGTGATACTAGAAGTTATGCCACAAATAATTTCAAATTGCAGCAAGACCACCCATGGGGGAAAGGTTTTAGCAGAGGTTCCAGACAAGGACGAAGAAAGATTGGCCATCCACTTTTGAAATAACAAGACTTTGAAAATTGTGTGAACTACAGAAGAATATAGTGCTGGAAGATGAGCTCCTCAGTTAGAAGGAACTCTCAAAACCAGACCGGGGGCTGACTGTAGTACAAACTATTAACTACTCATATGCAGGTTCAAGTTGAAAGTGAAAATGAAAACAAATCCACAAGAACCAAAATATGGCCTTGAATGTATCCCAACTAAATTTGAAAAGTGTCTTAAGAATATATTTGATTCATTGAACACCAATAATTGAAGACTAGACCAGTTGTGGAATGATAGTAAGGACATCAAACTGGAAGAAAGCAAAAGGTCATTACAAAGACAGAAAAAGAAACAACAAAAATGAATGTCAGAAGAGACGCTGAAACTTGCATTAGAATGAAAAGAAGCAAGAACAAGGGGAAATAATGCTGAAGTAAAAGACCTGGACAGACTATTTCAAAGGGAAGCTCAAAGATACAAAGTTTCAAATAATGTGCAAAGAGCTGTAATTAGAAAACCCAAAGGGAAGAACAAGCTTGCCATTTTTCAAGCCGAAATAACTAAAGAATGAATTCAAGCCTCAAGTTGCAATACTGGATTCTAGAAGCAAAATCTTCATTGATGCAAGAAGCTCAACAGCACATAACAACAATATACTATATTGGTGATTTTTTTTTTTTAATTTTAAGCCCGATGTTTAAGTCAACAAGACTTAGTCAGAGGCCTTTATATTTAAAAGTCAGTTGTTATTATATTTGGGGGGAGCATTCTTCTAAGTGGTACAGCACTCTTTTGTCAGTGTGCTGTGCTGAGGTAACCTGGGGTTGCTGTGATGCTGAACCTTGTGCCATTGGGGTGTCAAATGGCATAAAGGTTACCCATGATAGACAGGCTTGGAAGCAGGAGTGGCATACACTTCTCTGTGACCTTTTATAAATGAAGATAGTTATAGAAAGGCGTAAGGCCTTTCTTTGTTCATAGGATCACAATGAGTCATGCTCGACTCTATAGCAGTCAACAACAACACTGAACCATTTCAGGAAGTAGCATAGGATCAAGAGCCAGTGCTGAGGAACAAGTCTAAGCTGCACTGAAGGTATTGGCAAAATACAAAGTCCCAGATAATGAACCACTTGAAGTGTTTTGAAAAACAGATGCAACCATTGACTGTTCATCAATCTCTGTAAATAAATATGGAAAAGAGCTACCTGACCAACTTCCTAGAGGAGACCTATATTTGTTCCCATTCCTCAAAAAAAGGTGTTGCAAAAGATTTTGGAAATTATCCAACAGTACTGAAGCTATCCCACCAGAATATAAAGGCCTTTGAGGAACAGGTTTGAAGCTTTTACCACTAATGAGCAAAGACCAGATGAGAAAATCAAGAATATCATTCAGAAGAATGCAGAAAATCACTGCAAAGACAGAGGAGAAAGAAAAGACTAAGATAAAAGTCAGAGAGACTCTGAATATTGCACTACAACACCAAGAAGCCAAAGCAGTGGCAAGAAATCAAGAAGTTAAGGAGCTGAACAGAAGATTTCAAAAGGCAGTATGGAAAGAAAGCAAAGTATTTAAATGAAATGTGCAAGAAGCTAGAGTCGGAAAAGCAATCAGCATTTTTTTTAAGCTGAAGGAACTGAAAAACAAATTCAAACCTCGAATTGCAATACTTAAGGATGCAGAAAGCAGAATGTTAAATGACCTAGGAAGCATCAAAAGAAGATGGAAGGCGTTCACAGAGATACTATACCAAAAAGAATTGGCTGACACAGAAGAATTTACTGAAACAAGATATGATCAAGAGCCTGTGGTGATGAAGGAAGAAGTTCAAGCTGCTTTGAAGGAAATAGCAAAAAATAAGGCCCCAGGAATTGATGGAATACCAATTGACATATTTCAGTAAACAGATGCTGCCCTGGACGTACTCACCAGGATATGCTAAGAAATCTGGAGGACAATTACCTGGCCAACCGACTGGAAGAGATCCATATTTATTCCTATTACAAAACAAGGTGACCCCACAAAGTGTAGCAGTTACCAAACAATATCACACACAAGATCCTGCTGAAGATTATCCAGAAACAACTGGAACAGTACTTTTGCAGAGAACTTCCAGATGTGCAGGCTGGGATTAGAAGAGGCCATGGCAATAGGAACATCATAGCCAAAGTTAGATGGATCTTGGTTGAAAGCAGAGAGTGCCAGAGTAATGCCTTACTGTGTTTCATTAACTATGCAAAGACATTTGACTGTGTGGAACACAACAAATTGCGGCTAACCTTGAGAAGAATGGGAGTCCCAGAATACTTAATTGTGCTCGTGTGAAACTTGTACTTTGACCAGGAAGCAGTAGTCAGAACAGAGCAGGGAAAACACTGCATGGTTCAGGATCAGGAAAGGTATAAGTCAGGGACGTATCCTATATCCATAACTTGTTAGTCTATATGCAAAACAGATCATTTAGAAAGTTGAGGAATATGGCATCAGGATTGGAGGAAGTTTCATCAGCAACCTATGTTAAATGTTAAATAGATGGCACAACCTTGCTTGCTGAAACTGAAACAGTACATGAGGCATTTGCTACAAGGTCAGGGACCTTGTCTTCAATATGGACTGAAGCCCAACACCAAAAAAACAAAGATTCTCACCACTGGACCAATTGGCAGCTTAATGATGGATGGAGAAGAGATTGAGATTGTTGATAGCTCCAACTTTCTTGGTTCCACAATCAACACTCTTGTACCAGCAGTCAAGAAATCCAAAGGTGAATTGCATTGGGAAGGTCTGCTGTCAGGAATCTTTCCAGAGTACTGAAGAGCAACATTGTCAGTCTGGAGGATTAAGATGTACCTGATCTACTCCATGGTCTTCATAATTACTTGCTATGCATCAGAGAGCTAGACAGTAACTAAGGATGATAGAAAAAGGATTGATGCCTTTGAATTGTACTGGAGAAGAGTGTTGAACATACCGAGGACTGCCAGGAAAACATATGGTTCTGTCCTGGAGAGGTTAAAACCAAATTGTTCTCTGGAGGGTCAGTCTCACATACTTTGGGCACATGGTCAGAAAGGACCAGTCCTTGGAGAGGGACATTATGCTTGGAAGGGTAGAGGGACAGCACAGGAGAGGAAAACCCAGGATGAGATGTATTAACTCAGTAACTGGAGCAATGGGATTCTGTCTGTTGGAGATGATTAGATTGATGCAGGATAGGGTAGCTTTCAGAACTAATCTATATAGGGTCAATATAAGTCACAGGCGACTCGATGGCACAGAACAATAATAACATTAATATCACCTGCAAATCAGTCTCTCTGATGATTATGATAAAGCAGCTGGAATGGCAGATTGACAGGGAACTGACAAATTCAAGATGAATTCAGAAGAGGCCATGACACAAGAGATATCATTACTGATATTTACATCTTTTTCTTGATTATGCAGAGGCATTTGACTGGTGTATCACAACAAATTATGGCTAACATTGAGAAGAATGGGAATCTCAGAACACTTAGTTGTGTTCATGTGAAACTTACACATAGACCAAGGAGCAGGTGTCTGAACAGAACAAAAAACACTGCATGTTGTAAAACTAGAATGGAATGTGTCAGGGTTCTGTCCTTACTCGATAATCAATTCCGTCTGTATACTGACATAATCATTTGAGAAGCTAGACTGTGTGAATAATATAGCATTAGGATTGGAGGAAGACTCATAAACAGATTTCATTATGTAGATGATGCAGCCTTGCTTGCAGAAAATGAACAATGTTTGAAGCACTTAGGCATGTGGTCAAAGTCTACAGCCTTTAGTATAGATAACACCTCAATCTCAAACCATAGTCCTCACCACTGGATGAATAGGCAACATTGTGATAGAAGGATAAAAAATATAAAAGATGATTGTCAACAGTTACATTTTACTTGGATCCACAATAAATACTCATGTTAGCAGCAGTTAAGAAATCAAAGATGTTGCATTGGAGAAATCTGCTGTCAAGGACCTCTCCAAAATTCTGAAAAGCAAGGATGTCAGTTTAAAGTGCACTTGATTGGTATTCTCAGTTGCTTTCTAAGCACCTAAAAATTGGACTGTAAATAAAAATTACAGAATTCATGCCTTTGAGTTATGATGTTGGAGAAAATATTGATTATCACACAGACTTTCAAAAGAGCAAACAAGCCTATCTTAAAGCACATACAACCACAGTGCTCCTTAGAGGCAAGGACTTCATCTCACAAACTTTGGCCATATTAACAGAAGGAACCATTATGCTAAGAAAGGTAGAGGGTCAATGAAAGATAAGGCGGACCTCAAGGCAATGGATTGATGCAGAGATAATCACAATGGGCTTGAGTGTGACAAAGACCATGAAGATGACATGGGATATGGCAGACTTACTGTTCATAAAGTCTCTGTGAGATGTAGTACACTTGATGGCCCTGAAGAACAACATTAAATAACCCCCACAATGTTGAAGTGTTGCAGACCAAGGGTAAAGTATTTTTATAATTAATAATGAGACAGACAAACAAGAATGAGGTAAAACAGCATAAAGACAGG